CACCAAGCTCACATTTATCGTGACCGCAATTTATTGTAACATTTGATATATTCCGAAGGTTAATAGTCCCACTACAATTGTTGATAGTGATCTCTTGTTTAGACCGACATAATTTAGTTCTTTTTTCGCGCGCATCTGAGGAATTTGGCCTAAATCCCTCACTTATATTGATATTAGAATCTCTACTTAAGTTGGAAACTGCTTCAACGATAGACGATTCCAGCTCGTCATCTAACTCCTCTAGATTTAAAGGTGGTAACGGCACCTCATTCTTAATGCGCGCGTTTCTTATAAGATCTTTAGCTTCCGCTAGTGTGATGTTAACTATTGAATCGTTTATGTATTTTGTATTATGTTCAATTAGAGATTTATCCTTCGAAAAATCAACCACAAGATGATCATAAACTTGTTGAGGTAATTCGTCATATTGATTAACATCGGATTGTATATTTTTGTACATTATTTCGTGGTCACAGTTTGGAGTTATATAGTCCTCTTGTTTTAACGCCAGCACCATGGACCCTAATTGAAAACGACCGAACGAACGTATTGATCCCAGTAATTCGTCTTCGTTTTCAAAAAAAATTTGTATGCAATTTTCTTCATCAGATTTGGGTCTGGTAATAGAGCTATTTTCGGACCCACATTCAGTCAAACGCTGCTTTGTAGATGCTACGACTTCTAATTGCCGGAGTAATAATTTTTCCCGCACATGAAGAGCTGCTCGCAATTCCGTAAACTTTTTACGCAAATCTACTTTCAACTGTAAAAAACCAGTTCCAATACAATACGTATGTAGTTAAGTGCATAGTTAACTTCAATCTTACTTTAGTTACTGTATTGTTTTCATTGGTGTAATTATCCATTTCCAACGTCAGACTGTCTAAAATATTGAGTGTGATTATAAAGTATGTAATTTTACATAGTCGTTTGCAAAATATGTATATTTGAAAAATGTCCACCAGAAAATTATTTTCAAAAGCTAATTGTTAATTTGATGTGTAACCAAATGTCAACAACAGATGGTTCATGTCATAGAGCATGCGCGATTAAAATTAGTAATGTGCTGAATTGTTGGTACCCAATACTTTCCTTTCGTTACCCGATACCGATTCGATACATTAAACTAGCGATGGGCATAATGTGCACATACGGGCAAAATGCCCAAACGTGCAAACCGCGGGCAAATGTGCAAACCGTTGGTTAGAAGAGGTGAGGTAATTGAGCCCGGGGGGAGAAATAGAACATTTTGCGCGAATTGCATCTGTGTGTGTGATCGGAATGAGAGAACAAGTATATGTGAGTACTCACCATGGTGTAATGAACTGAAGGTGGCGCATTCCCGAAACCGCTACTTTGGTTTTGCCGACTTTGACGTTTATGGCAATTCGTAAACAAGCTTTTTGTTTAGAAACAAGTGCAAACGTATTGTGTACTTTCAAGTGCAAAATCGAAGTAATTCGTGCGTTCTAAAGTAAAAAACATTTCATTTGTAATAAAAACTTTATAAAAATGTCGTGTCGTGTGTTGAATTGCAGCAGCCGTAAGGGTAAAGCCTCCAAATGCAGTTTTTTTGTTTCCCCGCGACGACGCCTTGGCCAAAAAGTGTGTAGATGTCTGCCGGCAGGAGAAGCCATACAATTTGGACACAATTTAGACCTATTCTTTTGAACACATTTCAAGAGTGGTTGGTGTGGTTTTTTTAACGTTGTGTTTAACTTGCTATATTCAAAGATGGCTTGAGAAATTGGTGAATCGTGAAGAAAACACGTTTTCTCACTGCAAATTCACAACTGACAACTCATTGTTCTTCGCCATATTCTTTGTTTACCCATTGCCACAAATGTCATTCTGCAGGAATGCGCAATCTTGTAATCTATCGTTCTTGATTAGTTACGATGTCACCGGTGACCACTACATTTTGACAGGTTACTTCTACGTTTTGACAGGATATTTCTATGTATTTTCCAGGCGGTTTCCAGGCAGAAGAAGAACATTTGTCACTTGTATATATGCACAATACCGTATATGCGGCCTATGACAACACGATATGTTCCGGAAAAGTCATAAGTAACGGGTGTCTTCAATTAACTTTACTGGAGGAATGCAACAATTTAAATTGACGAAGCGCACACGCTATCGAATGCCGATTTGCAGCTCTCTCGGGTTATTACGGTATCGAATGCGCTCTCTCGCAAATTTTTGAGTTATTGAATGCATTTCCCGTAAAGACTCAAATAGTCTTAACAATTCGTTACAATTTTTTGATATTGAATGGACCTTATATTTTTAGCTAGTCACGGCGTTGCCGTGTTGTCTAAAATAATTATCTACATAAAGCCCAAAATACAATAACGGAGTGGCAGTGGCAGCGGCAGTTTTTCGAAATCAGCAGTGGCAGCTAGCAGTACTGCTCAGTTTAGCTCAAATTCTAAACTCAATATCTTTCAGAATTATAGAATAAAAACTAATTTAAAATGCATAATATTCCTTTTTTTCGAGCTCACACTCAACTATGTGCGTACGCAAAGCATTCGCATGTGAACGGCAAGTTTTGACAGATGTGTGTGTACGTCCATAAGAACACAAATGGAATTCTTTGCCTTTGCGAACGTTCACGCTCACGCTCGCATTGAACTGTATATCAAGCTTTACGCGAGTTCGAAATCGTATGCTTTTGACAAACAGCCGTGTTTCAGTCGCTTATTCAAATCCGTATCTATCACGGTCAATTCGCAAAGAGAAGATAATGTGCAAATAACCCTACTGAAAAGGGAAAAAGATATTTTAAACAAAAAATTCAATTCAAAAACTTTAATTGTTTTAACCATAACCGAAAATTTGTGTGTGTATATATTCATTTATCGGTGACGTCAATTGAAATTTCCTTAACTAAAAACAAACAGAGTTGATCAACAATTGAGCCAGATTTCTATCAGCATCACATCGATGTTGAATTTGCGTAACTTTTCTTTATCCAAATAATGTAAAATAAATGAAATCTCGATCGGCGATACTGAAACGCAGCTAGCCACTGTATTCGCGAAAAGGCAATATTGCCACTTTTTCACATTAAACCATGTTCGAATCGTGGAAGTGTTGGAAAACCGCATGGTTGCTTTTAGCATTTAGATTCTTAATGCAAAAATGGAGTTGCATTTGGGTGACCAATTTTACATGGGAAATGTACATTTAGAGCTAAATGCGTTAAATGTGCTTTTAGGCGTAGGCAAAAACAGCCCATAATGCAGCGTTTTAGCTGCATTTAGCACTTTCGAACATATTTTTTCGAAGAACGTTCATGCTATCGCATTTAGTCCCCTTTCAGACACGTCAAGTCTTGAAAGCAATTTTTTTCGCATTCTCTTTTGTGTTTTCTATTTGCTTCCACACGCGTTAACTTTAATTGAATTTAAGTCCTTGGTTCTTTAAATGGGAAGCAACGAAAAGATCAAAAGAGACAAGTAAACTTGAAACGAATTGACGGTACGGAGGTATCTGTACCCTTCCCCTCTGTTCTCACCTCCTTCGCCTACGAACGAGCAGACTTGAAAGCAAGACTTGACGTGTCTGAAAGGGGACATAGCAAATGTACATTTACGCGAGTTCGAAACTGTATGCTTTTGACAAACGGCCGTGTTCCTGTCGCTTATTCAGATCCGTATCTATCACGATCAATTCGCACAGGGAAGATAATGTGCAAAAAACCCTACTGAAAAGGAAAAAAGGAAATTTTAAACAAAAAGTTCAATACAAAAACTTGAATTGTTTTAACCATGCCCGAAAATTTGTTTGTGTATATTTTCATTTGTCGGTGCTGTAAATTGAAATATCCTCAATTAAATAGGAAAAAAAAACCACAGAGTTGATCACTAATTGAGCCGGATATCTATCAGTTCCATATCGATGTTGAATTTGTGCAACTTTTCTTTTTCCAAATAATGTAAAATAATAAATGAAATCTCAATCGGCGATTACTGAAACGCAGCTAGCAACTGCATACGCGAAAAAGCATTTAGGTGTCGAATTTTGTATGGATAAATGTACATTTAGAGTGGCATTTAGAGCTAAATGTGCTTTTACGCGTAAGCAAAAACAGCCCATAAACTTCGTCAAGCGAGCAAGAATTTCATGCGTGTGAACACCACAGGTTATAACTGGTTCAAGCATGCCATGTGTATGTATGTAGTTGCAAATATTTAACCAGTTTTTGTTTCATTTCGCTTTTGTCGGTTATGGCGGAGTGTGTTGTGGTATTAATTTGTTCGAAAAGATACGCCTCGCTCAATAGTATACTGTGGCTCAATATTAATCCAATTGAATTAAAAACTACTCGGTCTCGATTCCAATTAGATAATTGGAATATTATTGATAGTAAATAATAACTTGTTGTATGTTGCCGTCGTAAATACAAACTCTCGTGATTCTTTTTATTCGCCATTATCTTGTCAATACGTGTGTTATCTGTTTTGCTTTACTCAGGTTGAATGACTATTATTTTTATAAATAATACTTGTCCTTCGCAAGATGTGAAATCGGAACAGGTACTTGGTGATGTGAACTTGTTAAATTCGTTTTAAGAACACTTAAATTGTTTGTTTGAAATGGATTCATATTTCTCAATCTAGAAAAATACCTTCATAATAATACAAAGTGGGTATCGAGCATCACATTTCGCGATACTGAAAAATAAACCTAATTCTCAGCTTTTGTTATACCTTCTAATGAAAATGTGGGTACCTATATGGATATTTAACTTGGTGATTCTTCTAATATTCCAATTTTGTAACTTTTGCAGCCTTGATATAGTGTATGGATGTATGAATATGCATGTGCTTATGTACGAATTTGTGCATTTTGGCCCTTTTAATAAATGTTTGACGTTGCGCATATATCCAAATAGTAGGTGTAAATCGGGCTTGCACTCCACTTAGCAAATGTGCTTATGTATAGGCCAATGCAACATATATACTCTAGTCCATACATACATATGCATATGTACATATCTACATGCATATGTCGGTGCATACATACATATGTTAAAGCTTTGTACTACGTTTAATGCAATGTGTCACCAGCCAAAATAGATTTGGTTAAAATGAGATACCTATGTAGTGGATTGCGATGTTTTGAGTTCTTAAACTCTAGCTTAAACATTAAAGCCCCAAAGGAATGTAGCATCAGTGATTTGGACTTGAGATGCGAAAATCGGTGAAAATCATACTTACAGTATTTTTTTTTCATATATGTTTTTTAAATTTTATGAATTTTAAACAACAAAATATAGTTAAAACAAGAAATTTTTTAAGAAAAAAAATCCGACTTAAAAAGAATATATATATATATGTATATATTTCATGATCCAATGATCGGATACAAACCAGATTAGTATGGGACCACCTCTGAGACACTACCGTTCCGATGCAAAAAGAATTATCGAAACCGGAATAAATAAATTTTTAAAACATATGCACGGGGGCTAGGCTGCGAGGCCATGTTGCTCCCGAGCGGTTGTGCTCTTCTTAAAAGTTCTTCGTGTAGGAGGTTGTGTTTTTTTAAGGCTTCGTTGATGAACTTTATGGTGTTTTCATTACTGCAGTCGAGTTTTTGTTCAAGGTTAGCGTGACTTCCTGAGATGGCGCAATCCTTGAGAATGTGTTCAACAGTTAGGGTCGTTCCACAATGGGTGCATTCTGGTGATCTGCCGCCACTAAAATGGTGCCTGGTACTGAAGTTGGTTGCACCGACTCTCTCATTCGTACCTCTCTGAAGTTGGCAGGACAACTTTTTCTCAAAGCAAAAATTCCTATCGGATAATTTACCGTTAATTATCCATAAATTATCCGTGAAAATAATAATTTTGCCGCGGACATATTTTAAAAAATATCGAGTGCCCTGCTAACTTCCGTGGAAGCTAGCAGTTCACCTTCTGAAAACAAATTAAGGAAACATCCACGGAAGTTAGCAGGGCACTCGATATTTTTTAAAATAT